TTTTGGCCAAGGTTTATTATGCCTTAGTGCTCAGTTGCATTATATTCCCTCCCGAGTGGAGGGGAAGGCTCACTTCAGCTCACTCTGCTCAAATTCTGAGGACCATGTGAGGGTGGAATAAGTTCAGTTTATATCAGATCTCGATGAACATTCAGATACCTTGAGTTGATGGCCAAATGTTATAGTGTTTTCCTAGTTCATTTAACTTGACTCCTTTTAGCCAGTCGTTAGAGCTCAGTGCAAGTCTCTCCCAGGGTCGGTGGATTTTGTGGTGTTCTGGAACAGACAGTGCAGAATTTCATAAGGCTGAGGTGTGCCATCAGTGTGGTAATTTAAATATATTTAAAACAATGCACAAATCTGCTGCTGCTTAGAACACTGCAGCTTCTAAACCCAGTTTCTTTTACTGATTTAAATTTAAAAAGAAAGAAGTTGTGCCTGAAGTGAATACATTTTTTTTGTTCTTTTTGCAGCCGGCACCCAGTGTACTGTAAGAGAATAAATACTTAGGCTTTCCATAGCTGTATTGAGACTTTCATCAAGGTGAATAGTTGATGTCTGTGTGCTTTTTTTTTTTTTTGGTTTATTTTTTTGTTTTGATTTATTTTTTGTTTTGTTTTGTTTTGTTTTCTTTTTTTGGGTTTTTTTTCCCTCCCCTCCCCTTGCCCCCTCCCTCCATTTCCCCAGTCACACTTTTATCAAGCAAGAAAACTGAATGATTGGTCTAAGTATTACTTTAACCAAAAAGATCAGGAGTTACTTTTTGGAATAGAGGGCAGTACTGTGGTTTTTTTTGTTTTGTTTTGTTTTGTTTTTTCATGTTACCTCTATTCTCAATTTAGGGTTTTCTTCTCTGGGAGATGCATTATCTTTGTAAAACAAAACATTGCTTTCTCCAATTTTTTTTCTGTTAATGGCAAAGAATGGAAATAGAATAAAGTTTTACTGATTTTGAAAAAAGCCTCACTGTGCTCTGCCTCTTCCTTCCACGGTGGGGGATGTGTTAGATCCGTGCATCCCAGCCATGGGCTCATTCCCAGTGCCATCCAATTCACACACCAAGGTGAGGGATTTCAGTGTTTTATTCTAGTTTGCACAAAGCAGGGAGCTGGTGGTTCCCACAAAAGGCTCCCAGATCATCAAAACTTTACACTGTTTGTACATTTTAACTTAACACAGAAGCATTAATTGGTTACAAATTACACAACTTTTCTATTAATTAGTACTTAACCCCCTATTTGCAAGTTACAGCTCTCATTTCTCGTGCTAATTAGTCCCCAGGTGCAGTTCTTCATTTGGGGTCTGTTTTGAGGAGGTGGTCAGTGGGTCCCCACTGCTGGAATTGCCTTTCCCCCAGTTACTGCTCAGCCCTGCTCACCTCATTCCTGGTGTTTCTAATCCAGACAGCTTTGGGATTGTCTTCTCTTACCCTCTAAACCAAAGATCAGCCAAGCATGTGATGCTCACAGTGCAATCCCTCAATCAGAACTGTCCAGCTCCAGCTCCTGATTGCACTTCAGGTTGTTGACGTTTGACTCAAACCCCTGTTCAAATCTCGAGGGGCTCATTCTTCCCTTTAGAACTCTGGGATGGGGGGCTCTGTGTCATTCCCCCCTTTAACACTCCGGGATTGGTGTCATTACCCCTTTAAAGCTCCAGGATGAGGAGCTTGGGTTCATTTCACACTTTGAAACCTTTAAAACCACGGGATGTGGGGTCGGTGTCCTTTTCCCCTATAGGGGTTGTGGGGTCAATGTTATTCCCCCTTTAAAACTCCAGGATACAGGGCTCTGTGTCATTCCCCTTCTTTAAAG